CTCAACAGTCATTGATGTTTTCATAAGTAGGAGTTTGTAACTCTTTGTATTGATTGGCCATCGTCAGATGCATTTGAACACTGCATGTTGCAGTTCTATTTAATTTACTTTGTTGCAATTTCACATTGAAACTTGCATTTTCTGTAAAACTGCTTTGAAACAAAATTAATTGAATTGAAAGTGAATCCAGTATGTTTATTATGTGGGAAATAAACAGACAAACCAGTTAGATGAAGTTTCTTTTGCTACATGGTCTTAAAAACACTAACTGTGTTTAAGTGTTGTTAAACGAGTGTAAGTTTTGGCGTGATTCCTTGGCTTTAAGTGTTAATCGGTTCAGACTGACGTTTTGAGCTTGTCCACTTTCCACCACTTCCAGAGGGAGTTGAAAACACATTCGACTGGATTGCTTTCGTAGAGTAAACACTAAACACTCATGTGGTCGAATGTGTTCAAACAGCCACAGAAGACCGTCTACATTACGGGAAGAGCTCTAGACAGACGGGATTGAAAGTTTATCGGCTGGAGACCCAAGTTTGGTTTGAAGACGAGAAACGCACAAATCCAAATGTTCTCTCCCCGTTCCTGATTTCTAACAAACACTCACAGCGTTCGGCTGGTCTTGAGTCTGTCGGAGCAGAAACTAAAGCTGATGTTCTCTGTGTGTTTTCCGTCGTCTCCGGTCGTGTTCATATGCAAATTGCGTGAGTTTATTTTATCCATTAGATGGAAAGATCTGAAAACACACACATTCACCCACACACAGACCCTCCCCTCGAAGAAACCAGGACAGAAGTGGCTGAAAGTGGACAAAAGAGACGGATTAAAACACCAGGTGTGAGCGGGAACGTGTCTCCCTCGTCCACTTGTGACCCGATCCACCAAAACACATCTTAACACCAGGTGTAAACAGAGCCTAAGATTGAGTGCTTAAAAATCACACACTTCATGATTTTTTTAATGTTAACAGAAAAACACTCCAAAGTTTGGGGTGTTTGAGCAAACCATGCTTTCTGTGTGAGATCACTTGTATTTTTTTGTAGAATATTTGAGTGTTTTTTGGGTATCGTGGGAGAGACGCAAAGGAGATATGCAGGAACAAGTCTGTTCGGATCTCTCTCACACACACACACACACACACACACACACACACACACACACACACACACACACACACACCACACACACCACCCACAGGGAGGAATGTGAGGGGTTGAGATCCCAACATTCCTGTTTTAAAGAGCCCCTCGTAGTTGCCATGACTGAATTGTGCTTGAAATGGCTGCTTGGAGCAGAAACACAGTTAAGATTTTATCCTGAATGCTTAATTACATTTGCATCAACAAAACAATTGTTGGATATATGACAAAAGCAACTGGCAAAGATTAATGACGGTTTATTGAAAGAGTCAAGATTCTGCATGTTTGAGAGTGGTTATTTTCTTCTCTGAAACGTACTTGTTAAAAACGGCTGTACTTTTAGTTTTTCATTCACATTTTCCAAGTCTTGTGTTTGTAAATGACTTGTGCTATGATTCACTAACCATTGTTATATTAGTATTATTTATACACAATATATTATAGTTTATAATTATAGTTATTCATATTCAGCTTTTATTGTAATATTAAAGGTTTAATTTTTAGTAGTTTTTGTCATTTTTATTTGTTTTTATACTTTTTAAATATTGCTGTTTATTTTTTATTTTAGCTGTAGTTCAGTTTCCAGTTAGTAATTTTTAGTGGTTTAACTTAAACGTATTTCAGTTGGTTGCCAAGGGAACATTTTCGTTAAAGTTTTTCATCTAGGTATATATCTTTATTTTATTCAAGTTTAATTTCAATTAACAAATGTTTTTAATAGTTTCAGTTAACAATATACTGAGTGTTTATGTATATGTTGTTGGTTATTGGAGCTCATCAACATGATTGTGAAGTCTTACTCATGAATATTTCTTCATTGGTGGTTTTTGCGTTTTAGTTTCAGGGAATGTTGTGGTTAGACTGGAGAGGAATTTCTGTAAATCACTGTCGTGTAAAACATCAAAATCCCGTTCGAAGTGAAAGAATCCTGTTTTCAGCAACGCGAGCTGAAGAAATGGACTCATTACTGCAGAAATGTCCCGCAGATGTTGTTGATAAAGCGTCACGAGCTGCTCGTTCATGACCGGTGCGGGTCTGAGTGAACCGTCACGTGAGAAATCGCAAGAAGCCAGAAGGACCAGAGTTTATCTGTCAGATCATGTGGTATTCTTAGCCTTAGTCTTGCTGGATGTGAACAATTTTGCTTAAATAAAGTTAATTATTTAGTGTAGTTTGTGCCACATTTTCCTTCAGACTCTAATCAAGAGCAGATTTGCTCCTACAGAGATAACTAACACTTTACATTAGTTAACATGAACAATGCACAATACTTTTATCATTTATTAATCTTAGTTAGGCTAATCTCTGCGTTTAGTTAATGAACTAACATGAATAAATGATAAGATTGTATTTTTATTAACTGACATTAATCAAGGTTAATAAATTATTTTTTAAAAATCGTTCATTGTTTGGTCATATTCGCTAATACATGGACTAATGTTAACAAATGAAACCTTATTGTGAAGCGTTACAGCAATATCAACACCTGTATCTACTGAAAAATACCAGTTTAATGACCTTAATTTGAAAATTAGCGTAATGAAAAGGACAACTATTGTCGTTACCTAAAGAATAAAAGCGGGAGTTTGCAAAGGAACAAAAACTAGGAAAAACTAAAAACAATTAAAGAACGAGGATTCGTTTAATTTGACATGTAAAAGGTTAGTTTCTGGTTTTGTTGCTGCGTTTTCCCCCCTGATTAAATCATCAAATTGGTGCTGTGTTTTAAGGAACGAAAGCTACAAATAATGTGCAAAAACTAAACAAAACTAGTCAACAAAGATACAAACAAAAATAAAACCTTTTGACATTTAAAATGTCACTGAAATAGATCAAAATGTAAGTATCTGATATAACAAGCATCAGATTGTATTTTGCAGCCTGAAGAATTTCTTTTTACGTTGAAACTGATTTCAGATCAGCTCCTCGCGTTTTAATTCCCTTAAAGCCGAGTCTTAATGTTGTTGGCAACTTAACTCAGGACTGTGTTTATTCCAGACACGCACGAATGCCGTCTCTGTTTCTGAACGAGAGCAGGATTGAATCCTCCTTTCATTTGTTAGTGAATAAGCAAGATAGTCTTCCGCTGTATTCTGGGATAATTGAATACGCTGGGTGTGATTGGTGTGTGTGTGTGTGTGTGTGTGTGTGTGTGCCAGGCCTGCAGGGGCCTGGCGCAAAGTTTAGGACAAGGCTTGGCACAAAAACACGTCACCTAGTGCCAACCATATGGACCGTGACGCTAAAAGAAAAGGAGAGAAATGGCCCTAGTCCATCAGACGTAGCGCATCGCTTCTGAACTCCTCCAAGGGTGCGCATGCGTGCTTCAAAGACGGCTTTCTTTTCGTTTCGTCCTCCGTTTTAACAGGTTGTTGTTTATAAATGAAAGGGATATTAAAATGTTGTGAATCTTTTTACTATGTCAGTAATAGTGTCATAACTTTGAGCAGCTTGAAGCGATGGTTGAGAAATACTGCACATATTGCTGTTTATTGGTGCATATAAGTTAAAGGTATTATTAACTTTTTTGTTTAAATAAAGGCTTTTTTAAACCGCATTTATTTGGGGAGAATTGTGATGTTGTTTATTGAATGGGGTGTAATAATAATATATCGTGTCACAATATATCGCAATACAAAAATTCAACGATATGTATCATGGATAGTGACAAAAAATGAAAATTACTGCGTGAGAGAAAACAGAGTTTTAGTGTCAGTGCCACATTAAACTACTGTATGTAATGTTGAATATGATGTATAATAATGCAATGGGGGAATATTTGTGGGTCGTGATAATGCCAAATGTCTGATGTTACCAGTAAAAAGTTGCATTATTTTAAATATATCTAGTCAGTGAAAGAGTGAAAACATATTCGTCTACAATAATTCAGTATTTTCAGCTTGAGAATCATGAATATTGTTGTTTTGGTGTCTCTATTGTCCTGTGCGTTGGGTTTCCAACACTATTTATTTCCACACACACAATGTAAAACCAAATTTAGCATTTTAATCAACAGTAATTTTTGTTAACCTTTTATTATATATCTTGGAGTATCGCAATAATATGGTATCGTGAGATGAGGGTATCGTTACACACCCCTGTTATTGAACGTTTTTCAATATTTTGTAATGTTGTACTTTTTTTATTGTGTGTATTGTGATTTGCAAAGCTACAATAACCGGTTTGAGTGTGAGCCGTGTCATGTTTTCATGGACGAGGTGACTTGTTTACTCCTGGGGCTGTTTGTGTTGAGACCGAATATTAGTTCATCAAGGGGCGTCTAATTTTAGCATCGCTTGGAGATCCACTTATACTCCTGAGCTTTATTACCACAGTCATCTTGGTCATAAGAAAACTTGTGTCTGAAACACATCGAGGGTGTTTACGTGCGTCTAATAATCGCTCCCCGATTACACTTATTAAACCGACTGCTGCACATAAGGTCATATAAACATAAACGTCGTGAACTGTGCTCTTTTATCAGGCAAATGTGGACACACCTAGAGCTTTGCCTGTCTGTGGTTTCGTTTTGCACGTAAACAACTTAAATATCCCTACAGGAGCTTATTCACTGGACCTCATTTATGAAACGCGAGCAGTTTTTATGCATTAATTGTTTAAAACATTCTCATGTAAATGAATATTGTCACTTCAGACCCTCTTCAAATGTTAAACGCACTGTTTTCCACCATACACAGTACACACACACACACACACACACACACACACTCCACCCATGTGTTTTGAAAGTGTGAATCTTTGTTTTGGCTGCTGTTCCCCTTCCTGGTTTCATGTTGATGCTTGTTTGATCCATAAGGATTACATCTCTTTAGTTGATAATTGTCTTTCTCTCTTTCTCAGGTGCACATTTCGGTTCCCCAGTACGAACATCAAAATCACGTTCACGGCACTGGCGAGCGTCAAGCGTGAGAAGAGGGAACCGGAGTCTCCGGTGAAAGCGGTTCAGCCACAGATCTCCCCTTTAACCATCAACATTCCCGATAACATCGCTCACCTCATGAGCCCCTTGCCCTCGCCCACCGGCACCATCAGGTACTCACTCACTCACTCCTTCACTCACTCTCTCGCTCACTCACACACACACTCGCTCTCTCACTCACTCGCTTACTCACTCTCTCTCTCACTCACTCTCTCGCTCACTCACTCCTTCTCTCACTCACTCTCTCGCTCACTCACTCTCTCACTCTCACTCGCTTACTCACTCTCTCACTCACTCTCTCACTCACTCACTCTCTCACTTACTCTCTCGCTCACTCACTCTCTCACTCTCACTCGCTTACTCACTCTCTCACTCACTCACTCTCTCACTCACTCTCTCACTCGCTTACTCACTCTCTCACTCACTCTCTCACTCGCTTACTCACTCTCTCACTCACTCACTCACTCACACTCTCACTCACTCACACACTCTCTCGCACACTCACTCATTCTCTCTCTCTCTCACTCACTCACACTCTCACTCACTCACTCATTCTCTCTCTCTCTCACTCACACTCTCTCGCACACTCACTCTCACTCTCACTCACACACTCTCTCGCTCACTCACTCGCTCGCTCGCTCACTCACTCACTCACACTCACTCTCTCACTCAAACACTCACTCTCGCTCACTCTCTCGCTCACTCACTCTCTCACTCAAACACTCACTCTCGCTCACTCTCTCGCTCACTCACTCACTCACACAAACCCTCACTCTCGCTCACTCTCTCGCTCACTCACTCACTCACTCACTCACTCACTCTCTCGCTCGCTCGCTCGCTCGCTCGCTCGCTCACTCTCTCACTCTCGCTCACTCACTCACTCTCACTCACACACTCGCTCGCTCACTCACTCAAACACTCGCTCGCTCGCTCACTCACTCACACTCACTCGCTCACTCACACTCACTCTCTCACTCAAACACACTCGCTCACTCACTCACTCACACTCACTCACTCCAGGGTTCCAGACTGCGACCATTTTTTGAGAATGTGCGAGTTAAAATGTTATGTGGTCGCATTTGGGCGAGTGGACGCTTGAGCAACAGAACGCCGTTGTATCAGCTGCTGCAGTCCGTAACTTATGTTCAAAATGAACGAGTAGGCATCATGAATCCATTTTCCAAACCGTGTTTTTGACTTATTCTAAATCACTACGGTACGCCTATAATAAGTGTTTATATTCGGACTATTTTATCCCGGGGTCGACTCGGCTGCGGAGTAGCCCAGTGCCTGCGTGACTCGTCATAGACATTAACGGAGAGAAGTTCCGTCTACAATGTTCTTCCGCAAGACACGTGCAGTTTATTTATTGACGAACGTAGACGTCACGCGCATTGCACACTGATGGTGAAACGCGCCAATTACGAATTCACGAATTAAGGCATATAAAAATTATAAAAATGGTCTCACGAATCACAGAGCCCCCTCCTCCTACGTCTTTTCAGCGGTTATATTTTCCTCTGTTGAGCGATTACTCTCATGATCGCTCGACAGAGGAAAAGGAAATTATTATAAAATGCAGAAGGTAATTGGAGTGTGAGATTTCTGCTTTTTGTTACAACTATAAACTTTGATAACGAAAAATCTGTATCAGTTTATTATAATACTCTAATCTTTTAAAATGTAATGCATACATTTGAATGTTAAATGATTTTTAAAAGATAGAAAGATGATAATAGATAGAAAGATGATAATAGATAGATAGATAGATAGATAGATAGATAGATAGATAGATAGATAGATAGATAGATAGATAGATAGAATATGATTCAAATGTAAATAGATAGATTGTATATAATTCAAATGTAAAATGCTTAAAATTACAGATTAAAATTACTGTCCAAAATCCATGAAAATCCTGAAATTTGGCAATGATAATTAATATATTACAGGTATTTCTGCTGCAACCCAGAAAGCCTTTGCTAGCCTTGGTCCATTAAAACCACTATTCATCAGCATGAATTGATTAATCCCATGGCATGTAGCAGAAAAAAAAAAAAAGGTGCGACCAAATCATATGCTGGTGCGACCAACTGAGAAAGTTGGTAGCACCAGTGCAACCAGTGGAAAAGTTAGTCTGGAGCCCTGCACTCACACTCACTCGCTCACTCAAACACACTCACTCGCTCACTCAAACACACTCACTCGCTCACTCAAACACACTCGCTCACTCACTCACACTCACTCTCACACACACTCACTCACTCAGGTTGAAAAGTTAAATGATTTATGAAAATATAAGGGATGCTCGATATATTGGCCACCATATCGGTATCGGCCGATTATGTTCATTTTTTATGTTATCGTTACCGGCCCTATTAGAAAATGTGGCCGATTTAAAGTGATAAATGTATTATTTCCTTCAGCTGAGACGCTTCAGATGCACTGTGAATTTCTTGAAATATGATTGGAATCACCTCAAAAAAGGAAAATACAGTAAAGTGCTTAATACATGTGCAGCGCAAGTCTGTCATATAAGCTACATAACATAAAATTATAATAAGAACAAAAACTAAAGTCTCTCCATTAAAAGCCATGTCACAAGCACACAATTATGATGTAATCAGGCTCTCAAAAATTATATAAAAATTTGGATTTAGATTTACCAACCAATATATCGGCTTTCAAATATTAAGAATTATCGGTTATTGGTATCTGCCAAAATGTTCATATTGGTGCATCCCTAAAAATATAACACTATTTTTATGATGTTATTGTCAACGTGAACCTGAGAATATTTTCAGTTTTAATTGTAATTGCATTTTTTGAAAAATTAAAAAAAAGAATTAGAAGAAAAGTCTATTTTGTAGTATTTTGTATTATATTTATACAGGCTTTTACAGGCCATATATTATATTTATATATCGATATATACTTTAACTAAACAAAATAGAAATGTTGAATTGGCAACTAACTGATTTAAAAAAAAAAAAAAATTTCAGAGAACATTTTGTTTAACTTTTTTTTTAATTTCATTGAATAATTTAATAGTTGTAGTTAATGAAAACACTTCCTGAAAGATGAGATATAACTGATAAAGCAGAATCATATGGGAGTGTTTCTGACCTGTGAAGCTTCCAGGCGAGTTGAAACTGAAGCGCTGATGTTCACGCTTCATCGGGGTTGGTGGCGTTTGAGTGTCTGCGTTCGAGTGTGTGTCTGCAGCTGTGTGTCTCCGTTCGAGTGTGTGTCTGCAGCTGTGTGGCCTTTATGGGCCACTTCTGATTTGAGTGATTTAATTGAGTTTGGCTCCCACATAAATGCGGCAGTTTCCTGTTCTGCAGGGAAAAGTAAACTTCCTCCTTCCATCTGTTGGCATAGGCCCGTTTCACTAAATGATTTTGGGAGTGTATGGTAATGTGTGTGTGTGTCCCTCAGCGCTGCTAACTCGTGCCCGTCCAGTCCGCGGGGTGCGGGATCCTCCGGCTACAGGCTGGGCCGAATCGTGCCTGACCTGCAGCTCATGAATGACAACTCTCAGTCCGAGAACGACAAAGAGGCGTCAGAAGGAGACAGTCCAAAGGTGCCGAATCTCAGGATGAACATCACTACCGGACTCAAGTTTGGGAAAAGATGATTGGTGTTTTTTTTTAAGATGTTCCTTATGCTCACCAAGGCTGCATTCATTTGTATGTAAATTGTTATGTGAACAGTAAAATTTGGAAAAATTACTATTTGAAATTACTGTTTTCTATTGTAATATTATGTTAACATGTAATTTAATCCTGTGAATTTTCAGCATCATTACTCCAGTCTTCAGTGTCACATGATCCTTCAGAAATCATTATAATACGATGATTTGATGATCAAGAAACATTTATGATTATTATCAGTGTTGAAAACAGTTGTGCTGATTCATAGTTTTGTGGAATAAATGATACACTACAATTCAAAAGTTTAGGGTAAGTGAGATTTAAAATAATAATAATTTATTAATGCTTTAATCCAGCAAGGATGCATTAAATCAAAAGTGACATTACAATCTTTTATTACGAACTATTGCAAAGGCATTTATAATGTTTCAAAAGATTTCGATTTCAAATAAATGTTCTTTTATATCTATTCAGCAAATCATTCTGAAAGAAATGTATCAAGGTTTCAACAAAAATATTAATCAGCATAACTGTTTTCAACACTGATAATAATCATAAATGTTTCTTGAGCATCAGATCATCATATTAGAGTGATTTCTGAAGGATCATGTGACACTGAAGACTGGAGTAATGATGCTGGAAATACAGCCTTCATCACAGGAATTAAAATTACATTTTTAAAAATATATTTGAATAGAAAAGTTATTTTAAATATTAATTTACAGTTTTTACTGTATTTTTGATCAAATAAATGCAGCCTTGCTAAGCATAAAAGGCTTAATTCAAAAACAAATCATAATTATTCCCAACTTTTGACCGGTAGTGTATAATGGAGAAAACTGTCCATCTATTCTAAATGACCCTGAATGATCTTTAGTTCATGGTCAAATCTCTCTCTCTCTCTCTCTCTCTCTCTCTCTCTCTCTCTCTCTCTCTCTCTCTCTCTCTCTCTCTCTCTCTCTCTCGCTCTCTCGCTCTCTCGCTCTCTCTCTCTCACTCTCTCACTCTCTCTCATTCTCTCTCTCTCTTTCTCTCTCTCTCTCTCTCTCTCTCTCTCTCTCTCTCTCCAGGACGACTCCAAGCCCCCGTACTCGTACGCTCAGTTGATCGTGCAGGCGATCACGATGGCGCAGGACAAGCAGTTAACACTAAACGGCATCTACACACACATCACCAAGAACTACCCGTACTACAGGACGGCAGACAAGGGCTGGCAGGTGGGGAAAGTTTTCTAAACTATAGGGAATAAACTGTGATAATGTGAGAAATGTTGAAGGTGTCTGAATCAATTTTGGTTTGACTGTATCATTTTACAGTCATATTGGATGATTTCAGTTGACCGTGTGAATAAATGTCTCTGTTTCAGAACTCGATTCGTCACAACCTGTCCCTGAATCGGTACTTCATCAAAGTCCCGCGCTCACAGGAGGAGCCGGGCAAGGGTTCGTTCTGGAGGATCGACCCGTCGTCCGAGGGCAAGCTGGTGGAGCAGGCCTTCAGGAAACGCAGGCCGCGGGGCGTCCCCTGCTTCAGAACCCCGCTGGGACCCCTCTCGTCCAGGTCCCAACACTAGCCTTTATCACATGCCATTCACACAACTCGAAAGTGTTGTTTATAGAGCACAAGTTTAACACAACCAACGTGCTTTACAATACAATTTAAAAAAAAAGAATCAATCAACACAAATCAAGTATCAAAATATTAGTGGATTCATTTTCATGCCGTGTATTTTTGCTTGTAAAAATGTCACTTAATCTTTATTTTTGTCATAAACACTAGTTATGGTTATGGTTATCTTAAATGTTGCATTAAGCACTGTTTAAGACGTTGGGGTCGGTAAGATGTTTTAATGATTTTGAAAGAAGACTTGTGTTCACCAAGGCTGCATTTATTTGATCAAAAATACAATAAAATCTGTAATATTGTGAAATATTATTAAAATTGTAAATTGCCGTTTTCTATGTGAATATACGTTAAAATGTAATTTATTCCAGTGATCAAAGCTGAATTTTCAGCATCTTTACTCCAGTCTTCAGTGTCACATGATCCTCCAGAAATCATGATGATTTAATGATCAAGAAACATTTATGATTATTGAAAACAGTTGTGCTGAATATATTTTTTAGCAACCTTTTTTTAGGATTAATAGAAAGTTTGAAAGAACAGCATTTATTTGAAATCACTTTTGATGTCCTTGCTGAATAAAAGTATTAGTTACTTTGAAGTAAAAAAATCTTGCTGGCCCAAACGTCTGCAGGGTAGTGTATGTGAGATGTGTTCTGATGTGTTGGTGTTTGATGACAGGAGCGCCCCGGCGTCGCCCAATCACGCGGGCGTTCTCTCCGCCCACTCCAGCGGCGTCCAGACTCCCGACAGCCTATCACGCGAAGGCTCACCGGTTCCCATGGAGCCCGAGCCCGCCTCGGCTCCGCCCCCTTCTGCTGCTGCTGTCCAACCCAAACTAGCCGTGATTCAGGAGGCCCGTTTTACCCAGAACACCTCAGGTACTCCGTCACAGATGAACACACATTCACTTGGGCTGATCTTTTAGGCTCAGAAATTCATGATCTTTATCTTTCATTTCTTGACATTAGAATTTTTTCTTTGGTTTCAAAGCATTAACAGTGGTTTAAAGTTTTTGTGTGTATATATATATATATATATATATATATATATATATATACACACTGTTTTAAATTTAATTTTTTACAACTGCTGTTAATGCTTTGAAACCTATTTATATATAATGCTATATTTCTTTTTCATAGTAAGTATATTAATTTTTTTTATCATTAATATTATCTGTATTAGTCTGATTTAGATGATTTTATAAAATTATAAACTACTCTTTTTTTTTTTTTTTATATATATATAATTATTTTTGTTATTAAATAATCACCTCTTACCAATATCAGTCAGAATCTGTGCATCAATATTGTTTAGTAGTCTACAATTTCACTAACTTATTAGTTTGTTTTTTAGTCTGAGCCTTAAATAATAAACTATTTGTTTTCATATTAATAATAAATAATAGCACAGTTTTCTTCTGTATCAGTCAGAATCTGAATCAATGTTGTTTATTAGTTTACAGTGAAATTGTAGACTACTAATTATTTGTTTGTTTGTTTTATGAGCCTTGACATAATAAACACTTTGTTTTCATATAAATAATAATAATAACTAATAAACCGTTTTCATCTGTATCAGTCAGAATCTGTGCATCGATATTGTTTAGTTTACGGTGAAATTGTAGACAGCTATCTGTTTGTTTGTTTTATTATTATGAGTCTTAACATAAATAATAACCGCTTTGTTTTCATATATAAATAATAATAATAAATATTAAACATGCAGTTTTCATCTGTCTCTATCAGAATCATTGCATCGATATTGTATATTAGGTTAAAGTACAATTGTGGACTTCTCTTTGTCTTTGTCGAACACAACCTCTTACTTTTACCAGTCAGAATCTGTGCATCAGTAGCATATACCAGTTGACATCAGATCCCTAAGCGTGTGCATGTCTCTCTCTCTCTCTCTCTCTCTCTCTCTCTCTCTCTCTCTCTCTCTCTCTCTCTCTCTCTCTCTCTCTCTCTCTCTCTCTCTCTCTCTCTCTCTCTCTCTCTCTCTCTCTCTCTCTCTCTCTCTCTCTCTCTCTCTCTCTCTCTCTCTCTCTCTCTCTCTCTCTCTCTCTCTCTCTCTCTCTCAGTGTCTCCCATCACCACCCAGCCGGTCCTGATCGCGGTCCAGCGCCCGTTGACCCAGTCGATGAAGCCCGTGACGTACGCGCTGGCCACCCCCGTCACGTCCTCCACGTGTGCGCAGCCGCTGATGCAGACGGTGCACGTGGTCCACCAGATCCCTGCGATGACCGTCAATGCCCTGAGCGGAGCCAACCTGCAGAACGCCATCAAGACAGAGCCGCTGGAGAACGGGGAGTACGAGGAGGTCAAAGGTGACGAGCTCGGGTCAAGGAACGTGAACTGGTTTTCATTTCTTCAGATAACGTTAGTAACAAACATGTGTTCTGTCTCTCTTTAGTCAAGGTAGAGTCTGTTCCTGGCATCGCTCACGGCTCTATAGGCTCAGCCAATAGGATCATTCAGAGCAGCGCTGGAGCCACGCCCCTTCAAACGGTTACCATAGTGCAACAAGCCCCATTGGGTCAGCACCAACTGCCAATCAAAGCCATCACCCAAAATGGCACTCATGTAATGCCTATTGCCACGGCAATACAGAGCCAGGCTAACTCAGGTATTCCATTATTAATGATATAATCAGAGGAAGGATATTATTGCAGAACAGTGGAATTTAAAGTCCCCCTGTAGTCAATCATTTTATCACTTAACTCTTCTTTGATCACCGAAATGACATTTGAGGTTTTTTTTCCTTGAAAAAAAACTTCTTCATGCCTTAAAATAGCTTGAATGTAACTCTACACCCTTGCCTCATTTAGTATGCGTGGGTCTATGAATATGCAAATGAGCCCCGCCTCCACTCACTCACTCAGCTCAGAGATCCACTGGTTGACGATCACACGTTGATCTGATTGGTTACAAGGTAGTTTGTGACGTCAGAAACACCAGCGATTTCAAACCGTGTTTTTGAGACTGTCTTTGATTCACTGCAGTTTTAAGGAGGAAATACTCAGCAATGCTGTCGACTTATGAATTAAAGACAAATCATGAGCAAATTCATATTTAAAAAAAAACCCACAGAAATATAAACAACATTAAAAACTTGATTTTAACCACAGGGGGACTTTAAATACAATTATTTTTTTGGTTTTGTTGTTGTTCACCTTCACGCATACATACATACTAGGGCTGTCACTTTTGTGAAAAAATCCTGATCGATTTTTGAGACATAAACGTTCATTGAATCGATTGTAAAATCGATTTTCCATGTCTAAAGACGTTTCCATTTTCAGGGCCAAATATAGGCAAATCCACGGACTACTAACAGGCATTAGGACGAACGTAAAGACAGCAATATTTCTGATGATTTATTGGCGTGAAGTTTCGTGCACAATGACAAACAGGAGTGCAAGATTCTCGAAAAACAATAAGCAGAGTGGACTCCCATAACATCAATGAAAAACATTACTGCAGGCTGTGTTTACGATTAGAAATGTCAAACAAATTTCGCCTACGTAGGCGATTGTAGGCCGAATCTGTATCTGTATGCACGAGACTGTCTGAATACCGGCGGAATTCACATTTTTGTTGTAAAGAGACACATTATGCAGAAGTATAGTATAGTTTGTATGTGTGTTTGTCAGAGCCTGCAGTTGCTGTGTGACGCGCGTTCGCTGTGGGCGTGTCGTGACGAGCTGGACGCGCTCCGAGAGAAGGCCGTTAAAATCGATTCCCTATTTTCGTTTTCGATACTTGTGTTGGTTGGGCCGATCGATTGTGCAATCGCTTTTCGAACGTAAAGTGACAGCCCTAATACATACATGCATATATATATATATATATATATACACTCACCGGCCACTTTATTAGGTACACCTGTCCAACTGCTCGTTAACACTTAATTTCTAAGCAGCCAATCACATGGCGGCAACTCAGTGCATTTAGGCATGTAGACATGGTCAAGACAATCTCCTGCAGTTCAAACCAAGCATCAGTATGGGGAAGAAAGTTGATTTGAGTGACTTTGAACGTGGCATGATTGTTGGTGCCAGAAGGGCTGGTCTGAGTATTTCAGAAACTGCTAATTTACTGGGATTTTCACGCACAACCATCTCTAGGGTTTACAGAGAATGGTCCGAAAAAGAAAAAACATCCAGTGAGCGGCAGTTCTGTGGGCGGAAATGCCTTGTTGATGCCAGAGGTCAGAGGAGAATGGCCAGACTGGTTCGAGCTGATAGAAGGGCAACAGTGACTGAAATAACCACTCGTTACAACCGAGGTATGCAGCAAAGCATTTGTGAAGCCACAACACGCACAACCTTGAGGCGGATGGGCTACAACAGCAGAAGACTCCACCGGGTACCACTCATCTCCACTACAAATAGGAAAAAGAGGCTACAATTTGCAAGAGCTCACCAAAATTGAACAGTTGAAGACTGGAAAAATGTTGCCTGGTCTGATGAGTCTCGATTTCTGTTGAGACATTCAGATGTTAGAGTCAGAATTTGGCGTAAACAGAATGAGAACATGGAACCATCATGCCTTGTTACCACTGTGCAGGCTGGTGGTGGTGGTGTAATGGTGTGGGGGATGTTTTCCTGGCACACTTTAGGCCCCTTAGTGCCAATTGGGCATCGTTTAAATGCCACGGCCTACCTGAGCATTGTTTCTGACCATGTCCATCCCTTTATGGCCACCATGTACCCATCCTCTGATGGCTACTTCCACCATGTCACAAAGCTCTAATCATTTCAAATTGGTTTCTTGAACATGACAATGAGTTCACTGTACTAAAATGGCCTCCACAGTCACCAGATCTCAACCCAATAGAGCATCTTTGGGATGTGGTGGAACGGGAGATTCGCATCATGGATGTGCAGCCGACAAATCTGCGGCAACTGTGTGATGCCATCATGTCAATATGGACCAAACTCCCTGAGGAATGCTTCCAGCACCTTGTTGAATCTATGCCACGAAGAATTGAGGCAGTTCTGAAGGCAAAAGGGGGTCCAACCCGTTACTAGCATGGGGTACCTAATAAAGTGGCCGGTGAGTGTATATCACGCCATTACGTTAATTTTGAGATGACAACACGTGACGTCCTCGGACTAGGAATTATGCGATTCTATGGCAACACTATCAACGCCTAAATGAATCTGCAGTGGTCACCTGGTACAAGTAGGAGCTCTCAGAAAATTCCCAGCTTACAAGTTGTAATTACGAGCTCTATGAGGACGTGAACACTTTTGAACACAGTTGAAATCTCGTAATTACGACATGGCGTGAACGCACCTTTAGATTCTTATGTTAAATGTCTCTTTCTGTTTGTTTTGAAAACATATAATCCTGTTACAGCAAAGTATAAGTGTGTTCATTTGTGTTATCCTAACTCTGCATGATTATATTAATTTAATTACCGTATTTTCCGCACTATAAGGCGCACCGGATTATAAGGCGCACCTTCAATGAATGACCTATTTTAGAACATTGCTCATATATAGGGCGCACCGGATTATAAGGCGCATAAGATACTGCAGTCAAACGTTTGACTGGGTTTGCGTTATGCATCCACTAGATGTGCTAAAGGGAATGTAGCGAGTGCGCGGCGCCGGAGACGAGGCGTTTATTAGTAAGCGTGAGCGGCGCGCGCTGGGGCGGGCACGTAACTCACATTCGCAGCTCATATGAGTATTCATGTGCGGCGGCTCGCTGACAGCAACAGCTGGCTGTTTTGAATGAGACGACCCGGTTACTGTGAACTGGGAGCGCTTTATGAACATTCTGTGACGCGCGAGCAGCGCCGGGGACAGTGTGTCTGTTCGTGTGTCTGTTAGTAAGAGCGAGTTCGCGGGCGAATTTAACCCTTTAGGCGCCAGAGGTTTTTTCCTAAAACGTTCGATTTTGACATCTCAATTTCAAAAGGCTATATCTTAAAAGTGATAAAAGATAGAGACTTTCTGTATATTAGACAAATATTAAGGATGACCCAAAGTTTATGTAGGGATTACATTTTTCCATCTATTTAGCATATTATGACGTCATATGGTGGCGGCAATCTTGGATTATAGAATTTTCATGAAAAGTCACATGTTTTAATGATAAAATGCAGCACTTCTTTCCCCCCAAAATGTCCATCACCTTCTGTATGTTATATTGCACAATACTGAATGCTCAGGTATATAGTAAGTAGTAAACAAACTGTGTAAATCATTACCAATAAATGGTAGAAACAAACCGAATGCATGTAGTGATGGCCTTTTGCTGTAGAGATTTTCCATTTACTAAATACAGTAGGCACTCTGATTCCATGTATGGGGCACATATATATTATTCATATGACATACAAACACAAGTAGACAAGACCTGTTTAGTTCAAATGCTCACTCGCACAGATCATGAGTGACATGATACGAGCAGCGCGGCCAGATCTGCCTCGCGCGCGCGCCGAGTGTGCACAGCTCGGACTACTGTCATTGTCATTGCGACTCCTCACCCTGCCTCCACGTTGCCTCCTAACTGTCCTATGAATACTTCGACCTCGTCTAACATACCCAGTGGCATTAGACAAAGTCTCCACCACAATACTGTCGCCGCGATTGCGGAGAGGATCTGATAACATGGCTCACTCGCACACTAGCTCCGCTTTTGATCTCACTGATTCAATGCGCTCTAACTCGAACATTTTGTATAGAAACATGACGTTTTTTTGATTCGGGGATGAAGTATGACATGTCTACCATCCAGTGGAGGGGAGGTCGAACGAAATTTGACACCCAATTTGACAAAATCGGCCGTTTTATTCAATGCCTCATCTTGTCGAGTAAACTCGACCGTGGCGCCTAGAGGGTTAATAATGTGGAGCGTTATTAACCAATTGATCCATATATAAGGCGCACTGTCGTTTTTTGAGAAAATTAAAGGCTTTTAAGTGCGCCTTATAGTGCGGAAAATACGGTATTTGCATTTCTCTTTTTTTTTTCTTACTGTATGCACTTTAAGACTTGGGAGGGAATCTTATGTTAAATGTCTCTTTCTGTTCGTCTCCAGTGTCGAGTCCGTTACACATGTTGGCCGCTCACGCCTCGGCGTCCGCCTCTCTCCCCACGAAGAGGCAGAACGGTGAAAAAGCAAGCGAGCCGCCGGAGAGCAAACGATTGAAAACCGAGGACGAAGAACAGAAAATCACCTCTGACCCGAACGGGACCGCCGCGGACACAGACTCCACCAACCAGCACGGCAGCCACAACTAGTCACCCATTAAACACCACCACTGTCCCTCCTTCTGTTTTTCTTTTTCCTTTTTTTTTTCCTCTCATCACGGTTTCTCTTCCATCCAGCTCATGGTGCCAAAACTGAAGGCTTTCAGGCTGGACAACCGCTGTTAACCTTTTCAAGTGAAGCAAAAATAAATTCTAACGTCAAAAAAAAGAAAAACCAAACGCATAAAATAGTGTCCGTTACTGTTGTAATATGTTGTTGTGTTTGGCAGCAACCAGCTGCCTGTTTTCCGTTTTATGACTCGAGCCTCTGATTGAACAAGAACTCGCACCCCGAAACACAAGAGCAACTGCCATCTGGTCCGTAACTGGGCATTTTATTACAGACTTTCACAGACCCTGCAGATGTCGTCCGATCGGAGGCGTTTGATTGGCTTGGATTCTGGATTCTCTTGGTGATATTTAGGATCTCGTGGCCAAAATTGGAAGCATCTTAAAAAAAAAATGGAAAAAAAATAATGCACTCTCTCCCGGATGTTTTGCGACGTGCGATGCCCTCCGGATGTGCAGATGTTGATCCTCTCTCTGGACCGTCGGAACCCGAAAGATTCTAGAACCTCCGGAACCCTTGTGTTGTTCACAGTAGACTGAGAATTCCAGAACTCCTGCTCGTGGAATCTGGATCTCTGACAGCGGAACACGGGCTTCCATCCAACATTCCAAAGTTTGGCATTCAGATTGTGGAGGGGTGGGGGAAGGCCAAGAGGATGTCCTGGAATGGAATTACACACCATGAACCACAAATAGGTTGATGTTTTTTGTTCTTTTTTAATAGTGCACACTAGGGCTGTACGCGGAGACTGTCTTCAGCCAAAGGGATCAAAATATTCCGAAACACATCACATATTCCTAAACTTTCGGCAGCTAGCCTGACAGCATCCCCCACAATCCCCTGCAATTGTCGTAGTGGATAATATGCAGTATTTTTGTCGTTCATACGTGGAGCGTAGGATCTGGGTGTGTTTTCATTTATAGAGACGTTTTAAAAAGTAATAATAACAATAACGATATATAAGCAGCAGCAGAAGAGGACGTGGGACGCCTCGTCTCTTTTCCGCTCTGTGAAACTAAGCGTAGTTTCTTTTCTAAGATGGAGAAAAATGTATTAATGGAGTATTTCCTTCCTATGTTTTTCCTTTGTTTATTTTTAAATCTGAGCAAAACCGGCTTTGTTACTCTGACATATTTTCATACATGCACAGATGCTCGAGCGGACGTGTCATTTCCATGTGTAGTTGAACTGTTTTCATCCAGCTTGCATGTAACGGACTAGACAAACATACCTGATCCGGCGATTTAAACGTAATCCAGAAGAAGAAGAAAAAAACACAAGAACCTGCTTTGAATCGGACCAGATCTGCACTTGATTAGACTCCTTTTGTTTACTTCTCTCCCCTGTTTTCTTTGTTTCGTTCCCTTTTGTTTTTAGGCTGTATTGGTGTAGGCCGATTGTGTCTGCTTAATGATTTGATTCTGGTCAGGCCCATGAGTCTGACTGATTATATATGTTTCAAACAAAAGCAAAAAAAAATATGATTGATGTTTGTTCTGCTTCAGTGGGTCAATGCTTTTTTTTTTATAAATTAATTTAAAACCTTACGCTGATGATGTTCTTGTCTTTTCTTTGATTAACTTAGTCTTGTCATACGTAGACATATCGCATATATTGGTGATTTTATGTTGTCTGTAGGGGTGAATACAAAGTTTGGGACTTTAACAATTTTTATGTTTTTTGAAATAAGTCTTATGCTCTCAATGCGGCATTTATTTGATCAAATACAGTAAGATATTAATATTGCCATTTCAAATAACGGTTTTCTAGTGCAATATATTTTAAAATGTAATTTATTCCTGTGATCAAAGCTGAATTTTCAGCATCGTTCAATGTCACACGATCCTTCAGAAATATTCTGTTATGATGATCAAGAAACATTTCTGATTATTATCAGTGTTGAAAACTTTGAACAGTGTTGGTGCTTATTATTCATGTGGAAATTGATGCATTTTCTTCATTTTAGGCCAAGATTTGTCTGGCTTGTTGCACCACATGATGTCATATATTTTCTAATTCTCAAACATTAACTTACATCCGTGAAGTTGATGCTAATTAAGATCACTGCAACATAATTCATTATTTGAACTAGTTTTTCAATTACTGTTAGTTTCATTCTAATCTCTGTGGTTTTGAAAAGCAAGATAGTTTTCTCAACAACACTTGTAAAATTAAATATAAGCTTATAAGTTCAGTTGAATTTAAAGTCCCCAAATAATGGCCGTCTTCTCACTAAGATGAGATGTGAAATCCATAATTTTCAGATTTCTCTATGAGATGACAGCTGAAGACATTTAAATTAGAAATGTAGTCATTTCTCAGATGACCACTGTGTGGCGCTGATGTGTAAGCGTTCTGTGTGTGGCAGCAGAACTCAAATGGCTTCTGAAATGGTGCATTTCAAGTCCTGTCGTCCAACAGATGATCTTAACCTGATGTATTGGTAATCTGGTTTAGATTTTTTTTTATACCCGACAGAAATAGTTTAACCTTAGCCTCTTTTCATAAGGTGAATCTCTTGAGAATACAGATCTCTTAAGAGCACCGTTATTAAAGATGATTTGATTGACCTGTACGACCCTCCTGAGGGGCTCGTCCTCTCCAGGGTCCTCTCTCGGTTGAGTTTTGACCTCTTTAAGTGCTGAATTTGAACATGCAAGATGGTGTCTCGTCTGTTCAGCCTGAGATTTGCTATAACGGCCGAAACTGGTTTTAGTAACTTAAAATGACATTGCATTCGAATATAATAGTGGTTTGGTGTTTATCCGTCTCTAGTAGATCATGATTATATTTAATGTGATTAAGATTTCAGGTCAGTTTTAATGCAATCCCCTGAGAGTTGACCGTTGAGGTGCGGTCATTTTTACCCTTGCGCGGCAAATTTTCGCAATCAAATTCCAATCATTTCGCGTGAGGGTGAAAAAGACTCAGTGTTGCCAACTTAGCGCCTTTGTCGCTATTTTTAGCGACTTTTTAGACCCCTTTAGCACATTTTTTCAAAAAAGCGACTAGCGACAATTTTAGCGACTTTTTGGACAAACCTCAATAACCTCCAAATGTTGCCAGTACTGTCCTGCGAGCGCGAGGTCTTGCTTTCTCCGTGTCGTCACTCTCTCTCACTGCGTCTCCTCTGTTCAGTGAATGGCTGAGAAGAGCACACGGCCGCTGACAGACGCGAATGAGCAGTGTTTTTCCATGGACTTATCACTTATCTGCTTTTCTTTTGTTTTATATTTAAAGAATTTAGTTTGACCATTCAAATTGTATGTCTTTTCTTGTGCTTATTACTTGTAACACTCACTAGCACAGAGCTTAGTTCATCCGGTTCCCTAACTCTCAATTCAGATAATGTTCCACATAGGCCTATAAAAAATATAATCATTCACTATATTATAGCTACTCGTTCAATTGTCTGACAACAAAAAAATAGGAAATGATAACAGCTTTATTTGACATTCGGCTATATTATATTGAATAGAGCATTAATTTAGAGAGAAAACGCACTAGGCTGACAGAACGCAAGTACGACGCGATGACGCCATTAATATGCTAATTGACCTATGACGTAATTTAGCGACTTTTAGGGAAGGCCTTAGCTACTTTCCTTTGAAAATAGTTGGCAACACTGGAAAAAGTTGCACGCGCGGATTTCTCTGTTGTTAAAGTTCTAGTTTATCGGCAGCAATCTGTTTTTGAAAGTGATTTCCTTGTGAGCTGTGCCTTGTTCATTGCTACTCTAATGACAATGGAGCTATTTTTTTTTTTGGCTGCGAAATTCGGTATGACTGTTACCCTCAATGTGTCGCTTTTAGTAAAGTGAACGCAAGTTATTTAGCTTAAGCTATTCATCAGGATAGATAGGCTACTTGATTTGAGTTTTTATGCAGTTTAGGATTAAATGTTCTCGATATTCTTCATGGTAGCCTCAGACAGCATGAAAAGGCAGCAGAAGATCACAGGTAACGCTGTCGGATAGAGCGCGAGACTGTGGGAGGTAAATTAAGGCTGATGAACACATCTCACTGTCACACAGGCGTGGGAGGAGTTGCCATGGCGACCGGGAGCTGAGTGATGCTGATGGAAGGAGACTGTGTGTGTGTGTGTGTGTGTGTGTGTCAGACGCTAGCATCCGTTTCCAACACACCTTTTCCTTCTCCTCTAATAAAGCAGGACCTTGAGCTGAACTGCGTCTGAAAGTTCATGACAAACTCACATCTGCTGCAGAAATTACTGGACGTCTCAGGCCACGTATTGAAAGAAAAGCCAGAAAGGTATCGGGACAGTTTTATGCATGAACACGCTTTTGCTTTGAGATGTTTTGCTCAGCAGTTGTAAAAGAGGAACTTTTAAGTATGAATTATGATTCATCTCTGTAAGCTTTTGGAATAACACACTTCTCTTTACATACTTTTCTTTATGCAGATTTCCAGTATATATGGAACAGAAGACCTATACTACATTTGCCAAAATGAGCAAGTATACAACAGAGTAGCCTACGCTACGTATCCCACAATGCAATATGTTTGACTTGAAAAGTGCTCATATTTGGTAAAAGGGAGAATTAATACTTAGGCCTACTGGATACAAATCCAAAAAGGAGGGAATACAAAGATATAAAATTCATTACATTTCGATTCATTATAGGTTCATGATTATTTTATTGTTTTGAAATACTGAGAATATGAGTTTATGAAACCTACAACTACTATAGCCAACTATACATATTATCGTTTTATCACAGCTTTATTTGCTGGATTTAAGTATATAAGGTAAAGCAATCTATATACTATATAACAAATCTCAACTGCTTGATCGTTTAAATTGTCACAAATGTAAATATTATCGCACAGCTCTATATAAAGTTGGATAGATACATCCAATTTTACACACACATACATACAGTTTTGCCTACTGAAATAAAGCTTTACTATATATATAGTTAAATGATACTATATGGCATGAATATATTATGATAGTGTTAACATTAGCATCATGATTTTCTGTAACGCTGCTCTAAAACAATGTCTTATTGTGAAAATAAAATTGACTTGATTTTTACTTTTTCAATATGTTGCGTTTTATAGTTAAATATAGTATTTTTCCTG